AACATAAGAAATTGACAGGCCAAGACAAGCTTATTTACAAACAGAAGGAATTTACAGGCCAAGATAAGCTTCTTGACGAACAGAAGAAATTTACAGACCAAGACAAGCTTCTTGACGAACAGAAGAAATTGACAGGCCAAGACAAGCTTATTTACAAACAGAAGGAATTTACAGGCCAAGATAAGCTTCTTTAGAATTGTTTGTTTGTAATTATGCACAAAGCTACACAAGGGCTATCTGGGCTCTGCCCACCACGGGTATCGAAACCCGTATTCTAGCGTTGTAAGCCCGCAGACATGCCGCTGTGCCACTAGGGGCGCTTCTTTAGAAACAGGAGAAACTGACAGGCCAAGACAAGGTTATTTAAAAACAGGAGAAATTGACAGGCCAAGACAAGCTTCTTGACGAACAGAAGAAATTTACAGGCCAAGACAAGCTTCTTGACGAACAGAAGAAATTGACAGGCCAAGACAAGCTTCTTGACGAACAGAAGAAATTGATATATAAATGCCATTCTTTCAATTACACTTAAATTTTCTGTTATTTTATAAGTAACATTTCCGAGCTAATTTAGGTTTAATTTGTATCGTTCTTATAGCTGCGTATGTCATTACATTTATGAATACCTGAAGTTTCATGTTGCATTTTATTTTTGAAAAATGCAAAGAAAACCTTCAACATATAAGCATTAAAATAATATAATATAATTAGTTAATGGGTTTCTTTAGTTTTCACGAAACGTAATTATTCATTAAATTCCTTATTCAACGTATTTCAACACTAGAAGTGTTATAAATATGTAGCTATTCGCTCCCCATTGGCACCCCTAGTGACACAGCAGTAAGTCCGCAGGCTTATAACATCAAAAATCGGGGTTCGATACCCATGATGGGCAAAACACATATAGCCCATTGTGTAACTTTCAGCTCAATAACAGTCCTGGTGGTTAGGGTATTCGACTTGCACTCTGCGGGTCGTAGGCTCAAGTCTCGTCACCGAACAGCCGTGGGAGCGTTATAATGTTACAATATATTCCACTATTCGTTAGTGATAAAATAGTCCAACAGTTGGCAGTAGGTGATGTTGACTGACTACCTTTCATTTAGTCTATTATTCCAAAATTAGGAACTACTAGTAAAGATAGCCCTCGTGTGGCTTTGCGCGAAACCAAATCAAATTTAGTGTAGCTATTAGTAAGATTATCCATTATATTTTTTTACTTATCACGCCATCAGATATAAACCAAAATACTTTAATTCGAACTTATTTTAGACAGGAAGTGTTATTTGCACGTGTTATCATTTGAATTTACCACGATAAGTTATAATGAAACACGACCGTTTGTTCACTATTGTTAAACAGTCTTATTTTCTGTAAAAACACGGTATGTTGTTTCGTTTGTTATATACATAAAAAATGACAACAGTTTGCCAAGAACCTTACGATCGTGGCTAGTGAATTTTATCTTAAGAATGATGATGTAATACGTTGCTTGAATACAGCAGGAGTTACAGACCAAAAAAGAAAACAAAATACATTTTAGGTGACATCATAGGTCCTTCTGTAAAATCACTCACTGAAAGAGGAAAGCAAGACGCGTTGTGTCACAGCTTAATTGTGTCGTCCTTTACTAGTCGCGATGAAATAATCAAATCAAAATGTCAGTATTTGTTTGTTTGTTAAGCGCAAAGCTACGCTTTGGTTTGGTTTGAATTTCGCGCAAAAGTACACGAGGAATATCTGCGCTAGCATTCCTAATTTAGCAGTGAAAGACTAGAGAGAGGGCAGCTAGTCATCACCACCCACCTTCAACTCTTGGGCTACTCTTTTACCAATGAATAGTGGGATTGACTGTTACATTATAACGTCTCCACGGCTGAAAGGGCGAGCATGTTTGGTGGGATGGGGATTCAAGCCTGCGACCCTCAGATTGCGAGTCAAGCACCTTAACCATCTGGACATGCCGGGCCACAAAGATACACAATGGACTATCTGTGCTGTGCTTACCATGGGTATCGAAACTCAATTTTTAACATTACAAACGTTCGGTTATACTGTTGAGGCACCTGGGGCGAGAATGTCATTAAAATATAGAACTGTAAAGATATTTAACAATACTATTTTTTTTTCCTCATACTTTAAAGCCTTTGGTTGTAATTATAGCTGACAGAAATCAACTGATGAATTTCATCTTAGTCACCAAGCCTATTGTGTCATATCCAATGACATAGCGACATAGCACAGACCAACCCGGAAACCCTCAAAATTGGTATTTGAATTTTTGAATATTGGAAGTGAGGGGAAATATTTGGAGACACAGTTTTGATGGAAGGTGATTGTTTGTTTGTGTTAGAGCAAAGTCATATTGGATTGTGTCCACCGTGTGGGAATCGAAGCCCGGATTTAATTAAGTATATAGAATTACTGCTGTCACACCAGAGGACGATGGAGGGGGTGTCAACATTTCTATTTGAAATTTCTAATATTGGAATTGATGGAAAATATTCCGAAACATGGAAACACTTTCAGTGAGGAGAGCGACCAGGATCCTTTGAGACCTAGTTACACCATTGTTCAAATTAGTTAAACTAAGTTGCAGATTGTAAACGTACCACTCTGAAAAATTGTTGTTTTTATTTTATAATCTCTAGAGAAGTATTTAAAATTATTATGCAAGTTTTAAACATTTTTGATAGTTGAACATTTCGAAATTATACATCTGCGACAATAATCAATATGAATAATCAATTATCAATATTTATAATTTAGAAATGTTCAACTATTAAAGATGTTTACAAATGTTGCTGAAGCTCAACTCCTTAATATTAAACTTCCTTTTCTTCCAAATGTATCAGTTGTTCTACAAGTTTTATTCTATAATCAATTCAAGTTATTATATATTTTTGTTGATTTTCACAAATAAATCAGTACTTGTTTCGTGCAGATGTTGTCCCGAGGCACAAAATTGCACTTGGTTCACCAATGCAGTCCTTGTAATGAGTTAGGTTGATGGGAAAGACACCTTGTGGTGGTTTTAGTTATTAAAAAAGTGTTTTACTATCAAATTCTAGTGGGTTAGGGTTAGCTCTAGTGGGTTAGGGTTAGCCCTTTAGCTCAGAGTGTAGAATACTTTTGAAAGACATAGGGTTTGATACTGAGCCGAAAAATTTTTTAAAGAGGGTTTAAGACAAGAAAAACTAGCGCCCAACTTGTGCCTACCCTGCGACTCTGAAATATGGCTCGAGGACGTGTCTTGTTCGTAAGAGGGGAAGAATGTGGTATTTAAGTTGTTTACCCTAGTGTGAAAAGGTCTCAGATGCGAGTCTGAGGAGAATAATAATAAAATTAAATTTACTCCATTCTAGAACTACATCACAGGCAAGTTAAACGAGCGTAATTGCATTTAAAACTCATTTATGTTTTTACTGAATTATTGAAATGGAAACAATATGTCACTTTTAAAAACTATCGCTAGAAAAAATAAACCACATTTTTGAAACAAAATATTAATTCCAAAATCATTATTATTATTATTTTGTCATTGTTAATCGCAAAGCTACACAAAGAACTGTCTTTATTCTACCTACAGTGAGTATCGAAACCCGATTTTTGACTTTATAAGTTCTGATTCTTACCACCGGGCCTACTGGGAGGGGCTTATATTGTTAATGCTGTATTTTCTAGTTCACTCCTGTATCTTACCAACAAGTTATTAATATAATTTTAAATGGTAACCTAAACAGTAGCCGAATCCAAACCTTAACTCTATCTAATTACGTTCACCTTTGGTCTTACCTAAACAATAACCCGATCCAAGCCTTATTCTATCTAAGCCTATTTGTTCTTATCTAAACAATAACCCGATCCAAGCCTTATTCTATCTAAGCCTATTTGTTCTTATGTAAACAATAACCCGATCCAA